GGGTTCAAAAAGCTCATAATGTTTTTTCTACTTTTGGTTTATAGGATTAATACATTAAAAATACTATCATGTTTTATTGGTCCAATAATTTTGTTGTGCCTGTGTTGCAATAATAACCGTCCTTGCCTTGGTAGCCTGGCTAGTAATGGCTCATGGAGTTAGGTAGATGAGTTGTCTTAGACCGCATGTCTCCGTGGATGTTTTGAACAGAGCCAAATGTCCGCTCATCGTAACTGTTAGCAATTACTGTCAGTTTCAGTTTCTATCACCTTTCATTAGTTTATTTAGAGATACCGGAACATGAAAGTCAACTTAGTTAACTTCCTCCATTTTCTATTACTGTCTCTCTTAAAGCTACCTTTTGCTTCTTCCCAATAAATTAGCAAGTGGATATAACTTTATACCATAGATTATTCCAATAAAAAAAAAACAGAAAATCTTTATACTTACGAGAAAAACAAAAATTCCTCGAAAGACTGCAAAGGAGTTAAATTCTCAAGTAATATAAATTACTTTGCATTCCTCAGAATGGAACCCTATATTGGTGGTTTTCTTCACTGAAACACTGATGTGCTTTTATGCTGACGTAAATGATATAGTTGCTGAAACTTCTATCCAAAGTGTTTTATTTATGTGGGTCAATTTATATTATTCTTATACTTCTATTCATTATAACTTGAATCTTGAGTACTTCTTAAACAATTATTATTTGTATCACATTTGTATGTTTAGACACTAATAGTGACTTGCATTTTACACACGCAAGGGAAGAAAGAGAACAGATCTCGTTTATCTTAACATTTACATTTTCTCCTATTTGATTTATATGTTTTATCAGGTTGCTTTCCAAACAGCTAAATATTGTTATTCCCTTATATGGATCCTAATCAATTTCGTGCATTTTAAGTCAACTAAATTTTTGGAGTTTGCCATCTTACATTGTAATATGAGCATGAACTAAACTTCTGTTTCTAGTACCTAAAGAAAAAAACTGGAAAACTGGAACATAGTCATACTGATTTTGTTGAGACATTGCGGGTACCTTCTTGGCATAGAAATTATTAAAGATTTTTGATGTTTACTATCATTTCAGGGTTAAATGTAGTTTATGGTATCCTAATTCTTACCAAAAAATTAATTAGTATTATGATTTTATTACTTGGATGCTACAGTGACATATGAATTTTCTGTGTAAGGACAAAACCAACCGAAGTTAATTCAGTTTTATATGTTTAACTCAAACATAGTATGGTATCCAAATTTTGAAAAATTAAAAAAGGAAATCCTTAAAAAAACTTAGAAGTAACAGAATGCAGTGTCTCTAATTATATTTCATGATGCCAAGTAAGCAAATGTTTTTTTTTACCTTTTGTTATTTAATATACTTATTTTAAAATCATTTTAGCAACAATAAATATTGTCTCTCATACCTAGAATTGATCAAAATCTGAAACTAGTCTAAATTATTTTTAGTGTTAAAGAAAACCAGATTAGCTTTAGAAAATTTATGTGTGTGAGGCACAAAGAGTAACATCTCTTAAGAAAGCACACTGCATTGTCTAAGACTAAATTTACCAGTACTAGGAAATATTAAAACAGAAAATCTAGAGTTATTTTAGAGCATCAGGAGAGAAGTACTTATCATTGAAAATAGCATCATAGAAATCTGAGAGAGATCTGGAAGGTTATTCTTCTTAATATCGTCATTTTCGTGAAATTAAAGATAAGCAGTTGCTTCAAAACACACTTGCAAACTAGGACAGCGAAGGATCAGATGGAGAGTGGATCTGGAATTTAACAGAAGGGCCGCAGGGGGAGAATGAGGAGGAGACAGCACCCAAGTCTGTGCTAGGATATGTCAGCTGAAGGTCTAAAAGAAACCACTGGTGATACTACCTATACCATTCTTTCTCTCCAGAAAATAAGAAAAGCACTAGCTTTCTTCCCACTCCCCACCCCCACAGAAGTGTCCCCTGTACCAGAAAAGGATTCTACAGCTGTACCTAAGCTCCTAGTGCCCATATCATCCAAGGATCAACAAATGTAACCTATGTCTGGCTGAATAGTTATCACATTACTTTTTGGAGAAGTAAAAAACAACAACAAAAAACAAAAAAAGCTTTCTTCTTCCTAATTCTTTAATGCAGAATAATTTCATGGCACAATTCAAAGTCACATCTACGTGAGATCCACCTGTCACTAAATGCGTGGCTGAGAATAGATTCTATCCTGCATGCAGAAAGCAGAAGAGCCCAGGGTTTGAGAAGTGGTTGAGAAGGAGGTGAGCTGGACTAGAGAAACGACATGCAGAAAAGGAGTCCAGAAACCCCGAAATAAAGTATGCTTCTGCATAGTTTTGACACTGTTTGTCTTGAACCATGAGCAGACAAATGGAGGTTTATGCAGAGAAATTTTCTCATGAGTAGTATTGCGGGCACAACACTTTCCGTAAGTGTTCCTTTGAATAGAGCAAAATCCACCAATTGATGGAAAAATGATTCATTTTGATTTTGATTGTTCATCGGGGTAACTTTTTCAAAAAATAGCATTTCGCAGAAGATACATGGACTGAGATGTGATGATGTTCAGAGAACTTTTAAAGAAAACTTTGTCCTGGAAGAGCCAAATATTCTTACTGTTTTAGCACCAATAAGGGATTAGATTTCTGCTGCTAAGAATCAGACGCGTGTGACCAGGAGCAGTGTTAAAGAGGGGCGAAATTACTGAAGTTTCTAGCAGCGTCTCAACTTCTGGTGGTAGCCGGAAGGTAATCTGCCTTTCAGTCTTTGTAGGACAAGATTTGCTTGAGTGCTTTCTGGCATGCTGGGGCCTCCCCTTTGTGTATAGTACGCATGATTTAAAAGAAGCTGTGTCAGCACTGATTTATACATTGACAGCTAAGGATATTAAGATATGGGCAAACATACAGCTCACCCTTTTACAGATTAACCTGGAGACTGCATTAGGCAAATTTGATAGCATTAAAAGATTTTGCCAATTTGTCTGGGAACAATTTCTCTTTTGTAGTGTGTCAAGTGTAACACTTCATGCCATTGTACTAATTTAAATGGCTTTGATCAATTGTTCAAGGGGTTAGAGAATAGTAGTGTAGATATATATTTAGCACTTTAAAATAAAAAAAAGGTTATTAACTTAATTGTTAAATGAATTTAATCTGTAAAAATCAAAGGTGCTCAAGAATGTGTTTTCTTGGAACTGCAGCAGCCGCATTATATCAGGAGGCTTTAAAAGTCTTCTTAGAAAATAAAATTATACTTCTGCATTACTTCCCAATAAGTAGAAATGCTTTAGGCTAATTATAGTAGCATGGATGGTAGCTACTATTTGGGAGAAAGCTTTAGTTTATAAAAGTAATAAAATTGTATCTTCTCCAGGGTTTGCCTTTTTTTGTATTACATGTCCTAGATTGTATCATTTGCATGACATCAAGGTAGTCCCGTGTATGATTGTGTTCCCTAGAGACCTTCTTAAAAATGAGATGTATATTTCATGAGACATTCTCTATGTACATAATTTCTAAAGTAAGGAAGAGGTCCCTCTGGATTAAATCATTGCACCTTTATTCAGTAGTCTTATGAGAGAAAGAGCTATTCTATGGGAATGTTTAAACAGTCTTTTTTTTTTTTTTTTTTTTCTTTTTTAAAGTAACAGACCTCAGATGTTGAATTAGCCCTTTTGGTGAATTCCACACTTGAAACAAAGGCGAGATTCATTGGGATCATAGCCTAACCCCTGTATATTGCATGTAGAGCTGACAACTCATCTGACTATTTCATCAAACATTCCATGTGTATTTCAAGTGAAACATTTAAATACTTTTTCTTTACCAGAATAATAATATCACTGTGTCAAACTAATCGATTTAAACAACTGCTTATTTGTAAAAACAAAATGAAACAAACAAAAATAACAATCAGATAGGACAGATAGGATTTAGTACTTAGCTCTTCATTTTAACGAAGTCAATTCCTTAGCATGAATAAAAAAAATTTTAATTCCAAAAACAAGCAGCAGGAAAAAGTAGACTTAACCAAGTTTGAAGCAGCTTTATTTTCATCTTTGAATTTGAACAAATGAGTACTTAAACTACAGACGAGATTTATTTGTTGGAATTTTGTGTTATTTGGAAAGCTGTTACAGATTTTAAACTTTTTACTGTAGATTTAGATAGTGTTTCAACGACGTTGCTGCAGTATATATTTTGTAGTATTTGGGACTGAAACTAGCATCTTGGAGAAAAGCAAATTTTTAAAAATTTGTTAATACTTTAAAAATTTATTTTCTGAGTAGTATAATTCGAGAAGTTCCTTAGCCGAAAAGTATGCCGTATTTACAGTTCGGAGAATTCACATATAATGATAAACAATGCAAATTATGAGAATAGTAAAACTTGATGTAGAAAAACTGCTAGCTTCCTGGTGGGGAATGGCAGGAAGATATGTGGGACATCATTTCTCTTTCTCGACTTGGAGTTCTCGAAGGAAAACTGCTTTTAAAAGGAGAAAATCTAAAAGTAGTCTCGCTCTTTCTTGCCAAGGATAGTGAAATTAACATGCAGCTGGGCTTCTCTGATAAATGGATTCTGTTAGGTCACTGAGGGGGTGCATGTGACATTAAGTGATTTACAGTCCTTTACCTTAATGAAATTGTTTCAGCAAGATGACGCTGAAAGCTCTTAATGGATAGCTTTTCTTGATGTAATGAAATTGCATTCCTATGGCATTTAATATAAGGTGCAGTTATTATTTACAGGAGCTTTCCAAGGGCTGCTATTTGCACAGACAGTTCAGAACAAAAAGAGATTTCAGTGGCGGCATTGAGGCCAGAATGGCTCGTGACATTCTTGAGCAGATGAGTGTGTTCGTGAGAGCATTTCAGTTAGTGCAGCCAGGGCTTCCTAGACCCTTCAGGACACTTCCTCTCCCCTAACCCTGCTGGTCTTCGGCCTTTTACATATATTCTTCTAATCTATTTAACAGGCAACTGGATTACAACCAGATCAGCTGTATTGAAGATGGGGCATTTAGGGCTCTCCGGGACCTGGAAGTGCTGTAAGTACCGCTTATTTCTCTCACTCTTTTAAAGGGAGCTTTGTGTCTGGGGAGTGCTAATGTGCAAGCTTATCCGCTAGCTTAAAACCTAGTGTCAAATGGTCTTCTAAAGAGATAGCTTAAATCGTCAGAGTGAAAAAAAGAGGAGTCCAAGTGTGTGTGTGTGTGTGTGTAAAACCTTGCATATCATATCCGTATGTTTAGGTAAAATTTTCTATTTAAGAAGGGCACTCACATGTTCACATATATATTGTCCTTGAAGTGTTTCTCCTTATAATAAAATATTCTCATTCACAGGATTTGTGAGAATTCCTAGAATTGCTAAATATTAAGACAGCATCAGTCGTATAGGAAAAATGACAACAAAACATAAACCTCTTAGTAGCTGATATGTCGGTGTATTTTGTAGTTGCTGTGCAATGGAGACATTTTCTCATTTTAAGATGTCACTTTTAACCAGATAATGTCATCTTTGTAAGGTTATTTCAAAATCTACTTTCTAATTTTAATGAGTTGCCCATTCGTGCAGTTATTATTTACAAGAGCTTTCCAAGGGCTGCTATTTGCAGACAGTTCAGAACATAAGTCCATTTTAAAGTCCTTACAACTGACTTAGTAAAGCAACCCAGAGATTAGAATTATAATTGGCATCCTCT